ACAATATATCTCGTAAAGCAGAGCTGCCCGGTAAAACCTAGGCAGAGAGGGAGAAGAAGACAACAAACGAGGGGCTGTGACAAACTGTTTCGTCGGAGTTTCACCGACTCATCACGAATATATATAAATATTATTTTAAATTTGGTAACGAATTCCAATGTGACCCTGAGGCAAACGTTGTTCAGTTTAATTTTCTGCATAACGTAAGTTTTTTTTTTACTGGGACGTTCTTTGGTCCTTGCACGGTCGGGCCTCCCGGGCAAACAAGGTGACCCGGGCCGCCCGGCTGGCCTAGCTTTTTGTTACTTGGTTGAGTTTTTTTCCCCCCCCCCAACTGCCTGATTTTTTAAGCTCATCTGCACACCCTATCTTGCAGATTTGGGCTCTGTCATGTACTTTTTTCTTGTTTGTTTTTTGGCTTTATCCTTGGTGGTCTCTCTTTAGTAGTCTTTACACTCTTTACCGTTTTATGGAAGTGGAATTGAAGTTGAAAAATTGAAAGCATTACTCATAATTTAATGATAATTCTTATTCGTGAAATGTTAAATCATTTTATCATGTTCTTGGAATGCCACACTTTGACTCCCTCTCTAGATTCTGATTAGTTAATTAATATTTAATTCATTTTATTGAATTTTGAAATTACTTCCGTTCATTCTCGTTTTCACAGGCTTGAAGATGATGTTGATGTGTCAAGCGAAGGAGTTGTGTATTTCAGTGACGCCTCAACCAAATACGGTTTTGATGATTACGTGTTGGATATCCTTGAGGGACGGGCTTATGGTCGTCTTCTCAGCTTTGATCCAAAGACGAATGCGACAAATGTCCTCCTTGATAGGTTGCACTTTGCCAATGGGGTTACTCTCTCGTCTCAAGAAGACTTTGTCTTGGTTGCAGAGACAACCAGGTGCGTATGCGATCACTACTCCTCCTCATGCCTTAGTTGAGGAGGCTACTGAACACACCGCTCCAGAACTGCCATTTAGTCAAACCTTTATTTGTGCAAGGGCCATGCTAACGTTCTCTGTATGATTCCAATTTGAATGCCTGCCCCCCTTCCCCCCCCCCCCCCCCCCCCCCCTCCCTCTCTCTCTCTCTCTCTCTCTCTGTGTGTGTGTGTGTGTCTCTCTCTCTGTCTCTCTCTCTCTGTCTCTGTCTCTCCACCATCCGCCTGCCATGTACCATCACATCAAGTGTGAATGAACATTTCATCTGATGCTCAATCTCCACCTTACCTTACCTTACCTTTGCTCCACAGCTCGCGCTCTACCTATCCCTACCGCCCAGCCTCAGAACTGCATACACTCAACGATTCATCTCCAGTTCTTCTCACCCTTTTTTGCACAGAGATACGGTAATGCTCTGTTTCTTCTTGCCAGAAATGAGGACTAGCTGCAGTCATGCCAAACCGCTACGATTATATCAGTCTCTTTGTTCAAAAAGTCAAGTATGAGGCTACGACATGCGTTGCGAGCTCACAACTCTGCGTTGCGTCAGAGGGAGAAGTTAGATCAACTTAGATGTCAAAAGCAAAAAGAAGAAAGAGCAGTAGAGGGTGTAGGGAATGACAATGAGGTTACATGAACAAGATAGTGATGGCTCTCCCTGTCCCGCCACCTCTCTTCCTCAAGTTCTCTCTTTCTAAATTTTGTAATTACTGTTGCAACGAGGTTGTCCAACATAAGCTTAGTCAATCACATCTAAAGCAATTTCATGCAACCCTTCAATAAGCCACCTGTCAATGGAGGCAGGAAATGACAATGCAGATGAAAGCAAAGAGAATGAATCGTATAAAAAAGCATACTTGCGGCACACCTGTGAGGTGAGCTGCAACGGGGTGTGTGTGCCATGTGTGCACAGGCACCGTGCACTGAACAGCATGCTACTGACCCTTGTGCACACGCACAGGTGCAGTGCCTTCTTGTGTGTGTGTGTGTGTGTGTGTGTGTGTGTGTGTGTGTGTGTGTGTGTGTGTGTGTCATATTCACTAGAAACTCACGAAAATGATGACTGTGCCAGACTGTTTCGTCGGACTTCCACCGACTCATCAGGAGGTTGAACCCTGACAGTCAGTCTGCCCAGGATTCATTTGACTGATGGATAAGTACTCACCACATCGCCCAGAGTTAGCGATACCCATCCTTGAGAGAGAAAAGTGGTCGACTATCTATGTGTGTGTGTGTTGTCATATTCGCTATACACTAAAAAAAGGCATGACTGTGACGAACAGACTGTTTCGTTGGACTTTCACCGTCTCATCAGGAGGTTGGATGTGTGTGTGTGTGTGTGTGTGTGTGGTGGTGGGGGAGTGGGAGAGAGCATATCATATATCATACTACAAAGATAACTCGTATGCATTCGAGAACACAAATGCATCCTCATCACAAGTTCACGAAAACCTCCGTACTGGAGAATACAACACACCATTATCATGATTGTATGGAAGTTTAGAGATAGCTTGTATACATTGACAGAGAGAGGGAGAGGAGTGACAGCCACTTCACGAATCACAGAGTTTACTTTGCGATTTCGTGAAAAAAGCTCCTTATTTTTATTAGCAATTTAATATTACCAAAGAAAAAGACGACTGTCAGAAATCTCCTTTTGGAGAACATACCCTCTTCATGGCGTACCAGTATCAGTCTATCAGACCTTGAAGATAGCTTGTATACAGTCGAGAACACAACGGACCCTCATCACAAGTTCTTGAAAAGTTCCGTATCAGAGAGCACAACACACACTCATCATGACCGCATCAGCCCTGAAAGATGATATGTATGCATTCAGAGGGAGAGGAGAGACGTCCGTTGAAATTGGAACAGCAGTGACAGCACAACAAAGATTATTAGCATTCCCTCTGGGCGAGGATGACATAGACAGTCCAGAAATTGTCAAAAAAAAAAAAAAAGAAGAATGGAGAGAACTGGATATTATCATGCTTCTAGTGGTAAGGTCCCCCCAGGAAAGAGGATTAGATTATGCACCTGAATCTGGATGTGTTTTATGCAAAGATGCAGAAAGGCAGCTCAACCGTGATTACCAGCACCTCTCCACAAACAAGTCCAGGTTCAGGCGTTAAATCCAATCCTCTTTGCTAGCGGGACCTTGCCCCTGGGTGAGTTTCATGGTTATACTCAGGCCTTGTTCACATTGGCGGCCTCTCCCTTTTCAGTTTTTCCTTAATTTGGACGATTTCTCAATTTATGTGTGCCGTCCTTGCTCAGGGGGCATCTTATCTTCTTTCTCTGTATGTATTGTTCCAATTTTAACGGATGTCTCAAAGGACATCTGCTGCCTCTCTTGACCGTACGTTGATTGATAGTTTACTCCCTTGCAGGTGCCCCGATATGGGCGTGCTCAAAGCAGGAGCATGAAGAAAATGCGAGCCATAGCTACCTTCTTCCGCCAAATACAATGTACGGTCATTATAGCTGTAATTACTAAATAATAAATACACTGAAAAGATACCCGAAATACAGCTATAATGACTGTACGTTGTATTCGGGGGAAGAAGGTAGCTACCAAGCATCCGCCATAGCTAGACCTTCAACTATATAGAGTGGAGGTCGTCTTCCTCGACTACTGATCTTCTGAAAGATTCTTTGTCGACCCCAGGTAGGGTGTCTTGAGCAGCTGGCAATATTTGCACAGCAATTCCCAAAGTGACACTTTGAAGAGAGAGAGAGAGAGAGAGAGAGAGAGAGAGAGAGAGAGAGAGAGAGAGAGAGAGAGAGAGAGAGAGAGAGAGAGAGAGAGAGAGAGGCATCTGAACCATCTCCACCGTCGTCGCGCAAATAGAATGCCCGGTCATTTTCGCTGTATGTGGACTGAAAGTTCCCCTGAATGCAGCTATAATGACTACTGGGCAATGCAGGCATTGTATTCTGGTGAAGTGAAGGAGTATATTTATATCTTCTAAGACTCTAGGCCCCTCCCTGTTGCCTTCATTTGGGCAGGAAAATGGTGGCTCGCATTTCAGTCTGTTTATCTACACTCCTGACCAGACATATCCTACTCTAAACCTCTCCATGCACAATATGGTACCCAGGTCCACCAAGCCTACCAGACTTCAGGCCCACTCCAATGCTTGCTCAAAAATCCCTGCTGCTACCGGATCCGAAAGTCTTACCTCTGTGCCCCCTGTACTGTGCAAATCTCAGATTTGCCCCTTTCTGTCGACCATCTAGTCGCTAGAATTTCAGTCCCATCCCTCGAAATTCAACTTTGTCCGCTCCAGATACCTCTCTGTCCACCCCCCAGTCGCCACAGTCCTGTCCCTCAAAATCCTTGTTTTGCATGTAAGTACCTCTTGACGACAGATCAGAATAGCCAAAAGGTTAGCATCCACTTACGCACGAGCATAGAAACCTTTGGGACTACATACCACAACCTATAGCCAGGAAGACGCAAAAAATGCAGAAAAATTCTGGTCATTTCCGGGGCGAGGGGGGGGGAGGCAGAAAAATTGAGACTTATCAGGTTAAGCACAGAAACAACTCCTTTTCTTTCTTTTTTTTCCCTTTCTTTTTCTTTTTTTTGGCAATAAAACATCCGGTGAAGTTCTGCGGTCCCGCGGTGGTAAAAGAACCAATGGGATCGAGACCTTCTAGTGGATGGCTGTGTTCCATTGGTGGGGAGCTTCACCTGCTGGAAATCGGGTCCAGTGTCCCCTTATACAGAGAATTGCATCAGAAATACTGGCAGCGTTACCCAGCTTCTCTTATTGTGAGCTATGCATCCTGACATCTCCGCCCAAAGGCTGTCTGATTTAGGTCGGCTAAACCATAGCAGTCTGCTCAAGCCTTATTCAAAGACACCACTACGCCCCACTTCGGCTTCAACTTCCTTGAACCTTAAACCCTACGCCAACCAGCCCCCTTTTGTATAACAACCGGGTGGCCCCGAATCTCATTAATTTCGAACTCTAAACTTTGAGCCTAGACCCTCCAACTGGACCGAAGGATAAGGCATATCCTCCGAGATTACTTGGGTTGGGTTATTAGCGTTTACGTTACGGTTCCGGAATCACATTAATCTCTCCTCCGTGATTACCTGGATGTATCTGATCTCAAGCTAAGTCCACATAAGGATGTCCCACCTGGATGTATCTGGACTTAGCTTGAGACCAGATAGTTCCGGAATCACATTAATCGCTCCTCCGTCGCTAACCTTGGGCTAACCGCCAAACGCTTCCTGCTTCACCCTGAACCCTAGCATCCCGCCTTCCCAGTACCTTAACCATTTCCCTGTTTTTTTTGGAAAAATAAGATCCATACTTCACGCGCGTCCCTCGTCCCGTCGTTTCGCGGATCCCTAGTCCTACTGTGTACTTCCTATGTTCTGTCCCTCTTCTCCACAGTTGCTGCCTCTCCTTTGCTCCAGTGTACTGGGTGAGGTAAACCGATGTCGGTATGCAACTGGTGTCCGATTTGAATAGCAACCGATGTCCGTCAATGGCTGCCAGCTTTCCGTGTCCCAGGACTGCTTGGCCAAATCTCTTTTGAATTTCCTGAGCCTCTGCTGGGTTATGTCGGATCTTTCGCTGCACCCTCGTCCATTGGGCCCTTATATCTGAGATCCGGGCAGGTTCTTGAATATGGCGTGGGCAGACTGCTGGGCCTTAGCTGCACCCTTGTCAATGGGAGAATCTTCCATTGACGAGAGGTTTTCCGGGAGGCTCTTGGCGATGTCTCCTGTTTCCTGGGTAGGTATAGGCGCCTCTCGTCAATCGTTTGCTGGCACGTTCTCTTCCTTATGGTCCAGAGGCCAGATTGTCTCAGCAATTGGAAGATGTTTCTCTCTTCTCAAAGTCTCCCCATTTGCGAGGGACAGCGGCTACATGAAAAAATCAGCCATTGCATACGTCTTATCTTCCCGAGTCGGATGGTGTGGAGTAGAGACCATGGTATGCCGGGTAAATGTGCCGGAGCCACCCCGGCCTGTCCTCCCACGGTTCCGTAAAAAAAGTGATACCTCCAGTGGGATAAGAACATCTCCTCCTCAGCTTATATAGGCCAGGCGGGTTGTATAGGGAAAGCAAAGTGATTCTACGGGAAATATTAAACCGTCCTGCTCTCAGATTCCATGCCCACGCAGCTGCAACCACTTTGAGATCCTCCACTGCTGTGGCGGGGCAGTAGATGTCGTAATATCCTCTGTTTCAATCACGCATCACCTTACGGACCGCCCACAGCTGGATTGTCACCGGTGTTCTCGAGTACCCCTGTTTAATTTGCTGGCGGTAGCCCCTGGTTGTTCTATGTCATACATGTCTGTGCTTAGCCAGTCCCCTTGAGGTCCCACTCGGGACCACCTTGTGCTGCCACGCGACCCATTCTCCGTACCTGCATTGGGGCCCCTTCTCCAGCCGACGCTTCCACTCTGTTGAGAACTTGGGATGCAGATGAGAACATCATTAAGATTCTCCAGCAGTCTGTGACACCCCTTGAGTTCCGTGCGAGGCGCCTTGCTGTTTTCCATTGGGCCCTCCTCTTCTGACAGTCTGGCACGCTCCATGTTCTACCCATGTCCCCCACTTAGAATCTTGTGCCATTAGTGTCCTTGGTTTCCCGTTTTCATCCTTGCGTCAATGATTACAGAAGAGGGGCTGGTGTAGGACCTCTCCCCTTGTCTGAGGATGGTGTACCCTGTCTGGAAAAACTTCACCCTATAATTTGACTAGCTGTGCCCAGTAGTTGCCTTCTCGGTCATTCGTGATGCTGCGGTCCGTCCTGTTCTCTTCCCTGCCCACTTTAGCCCAGTTTTTGTAGAGAATCTCAGAATCCTTTTTTTTTTTTTTTTTTTTTTTTTTGGTCCAGATCTGGTTTTGTGCATGTCAAAGATGTCATCCTTGTGTGATTACAGTGATTGCAGTGATAATCTGATTGAGATTACGGTGATAATGTGAGTGGGTGATTGTTAATTTCTGCTGTGTTGTGGAAAAGATGCAACTGACAGTATTATTATGCTTTATCCATGCAAAAATGCAAATTGTTTGGGGTTCTGGATGTTTTTCTGTGAACTGCCTGTTTGAAACAGATACCGTATATTACGCTACTGGTTGAAGGGCCCGAGGATGGGCACCCATGACGTGTTTGCAAACAACCTGCCCGGCCTCGTCGATAACATTCAGTCCAACAGACGAGGAACCATCTGGGTCGCCATCAGTATGGTAGGCCCTACTACAGCCTCCCCACTCCATTGCGAAGAGTTCGGTATCTAACTTACAAACCCAAACATGAATTGCCACTCAATACTCCATCAAACCCTGAAGAAGAGAATAAAGAAAGTGAGGTGTGTGTGGGTGAGATGGGTGCAATAATGCAATTCCATCAAATCCTGAAGAAGAGCTGGTCGTGGGAAGGGGTCGTGTGTGTGTGTGTGTGTGTGTGTGTGTGTGTGTGAGAGAGAGAGAGAGAGAGAGAGAG